TTCTCAACAAACTGGGTGGGTGTAATTTTAATTTCTCCCTTAAACGGCAGCGGTTGGTCTCGGGTAGTTCTCACGTGCGTCCCAACCAACCAACTCCCCCAGGTCGGCTGGAGGGGAGAGCTATTTCACGACGCCCGCTCGTCTGAACATTGTTGCAGAATGACAGTTCCTGTCAGCGTGGGAACTCGGACAGAATTTGATAGACATGTCGCAATGGCGGTTTTCTGGCGTTTAAAACTTTAGAGAGATTAATATTGCATTGATCTATTTGACTGATCGTGTTTAGAAAACTCATTAAGTAGCCAATACATAATGGCTAACACGATACTGACGATGACACTATACCACGTGGGTGCTTTTGTTTCATACCCTCCAGACAGCGCTTGCATGTTTAGCTTTCTCATGGTGGGCTTTCGAGTCTGGACCAGGAAAACCATCGACTGACGGCACAAGCAACGGTCTCACCTTCGTTACCCAGTGACACATCCTGTTGGGCCATACGGGGTAAGAGTTCCTCCCGTTCCCCCATCCCAAATAATATGTATAAATATTCTAGAATTATAAACAAAACTTAACACAACAATTACTAGAGAACTCACAAAATGATTAAAAGTCCAAATTTTAAGTTAGGGCTAGATTTAGGGTTAGGTTAAAGTTTGGTTTAGAGTTGGGGAACGGAAGGAACTCTTTCCCCTAACCCCTCGAAATAATCCAAATAAATTAAATACATTTCAAGCGGGGGTTACGGGCGGAAGGAACTCTTACCCACATGGCATGGTAACTGCGCCCTGAGGTATCATGCGCACCTGAAGCCTGAAGTGACGCACGTCTCCGATCTACACCACATTGTTGAGAACCAGAAGCTGTGTTAGGGTGTTGACAAACCTGGAACCAAGGTCTGCTGTATCACCATAGCCAGTCTCACAATCCCTGAACCAGTATTTTGCCATTCTGCTAAGGCCCTAAATGAAGCAACTCCTCTTGATTATCCTCAAGGTCTCACTGGGGTTCCATTTCAGTTTAAAAGGAAATATTTGTTTCTATCAAAATTATATATATTCAGAGACTAAGATTTAGTCTAGCTTCTAGATAAAAGACGTAGGTGTATCAAATATCCCAGTGGACTTGACTGACTGACTGACTGACTGACCAAGTTTGGTTTAACGCCGCTTTTAGCAATATTCCAGCAACATCACGGCGGGGGACACCAGAAATGGGCTTCACATATTGTACCCATATGGGGATTCGAACCCGGGTCTTCGGCGTGACGAGCCAACGCTTTAACCACTAGGCTACCCCACCATCCCTGGTTGGGGAGAATTTGGAATCGTGGGTTTACATCGAACAATCATATACTCGGCGTCATTAATGAAGGGTCAAGCTATTGGTAAGCTATTTCTTAAAAGTTGTAAAATCTTCGTTTTTGTTTGAAATATATACAACTGAATATTCTACAAACTTTCTTAACAGTATGCAAAAAACATATGAGGCGGTTTAAATGTCATTAATACGTTCTTTAACGTCCGATACATTCTGTTACAAAAGGCACATATTTTATTCAAATTGTCAATATTGAAATCCACCTGCCACTTAATGTCAATGATTTGCACGTGCAAGTCGCTCTTTCCATGGAAAGTGGAGACAATACACTTGCACTGATGCTTTTTTCACTGTCGTTCACTGTTCAGGTACCGGTTTGAAATCGCAGCTTAAAATGACACCTTTTTTGACAGTTGCTGAAAGGGGTCAGGCTATAGGCTTTTGGAATCTGGTCAAACTCAGCGGCAGGTTGCTGTCCGCTTTAACGTGATTCAGAGTGCTATTGGTAGACTGTGGCAGAGATTTCAAGCCAATGGGTCCGTGGAATACGAACGTCGACCAGGCTGTAAGACAACAACGCTAGGGCAAAAATTATCATGGAATTCCTTAAGCAGCAGGGCGTAGAGCTGATGGAGTGGCCAGCATGCTCGCAAGACCTCAACCCAATTGAGCATGCATGGGATGAACTCGGTGTACACATATCACCCAGCACCAGTGGATCTCCCAGGACTCTGCAGAGCTCTAGCAGAGGAATGGAATGCGCTCGCAAGCTCTCTTTATGAATTTGAGCACGAGAACAAGATGCACCTGTCTTGGACGCATGAGGAGGGTACACAAGATATTGAATGACCAGTGTTTCATGTTTGTCATTCTCATTTTGGGGGGTTGGTCCATACAACTGATGTTTGCTAGTGCTGTTTGAACTTTTTGTCTGTATATCTGTGTGTCACGTTTGTGAACACATTTAACATTATTATGACACTCTGAGTTCTATTATTTCTGAGAAACGTTTCTTTACATGTGCTACATATCACCTGACCCTTTACTAATGACACCTGGTACATTTATCATGAGCCTCGCTCTGTCACACAGAATATTGGGGACCCCTGAAGATCAGGGGTAGAATAGGTCTTCAGCAACCCATGCTTGCCACAAAAGGCGACTGTGCTTGTCGTAAGAGGCGACTAACGGGATCGGGTGGTCAGGCTCGCTGACTTGGTTGACACATGTCATTGGTTCCCAATTGCGCAGATCAATGTTCATGCTGTTGATCACTGGATTGTCTGGTCCAGACTCAATTATTTACAGACCGCCGCCATATAGCTGGAATATTGCTGAGTGCGGCGTAAAACTAAACTCACTCACTCAGAATATTGGGGCACCTTGTGGTGGGTTTAACTGAAGTGGCGAAGTCTCAGACCATCATTCCTGTGCACCTCCACAGGTAATTCTGTACCAAACATATTTCTGACACACTGTGACAGGCGCAACCACTGGAGTTCTCTGTGATCTGCATACTTGTACACATCCTGCACCTGACAGAGCTCTGACTGGGCCACTGAGTGTTCTGCCACAGACAACCTCAGCCGCTAAAAGTGGGGATGCTCTATACCAGCAAAACCAACTCGAGGCACCACTATGTTCTCCTGCAGACAACCTCAACCTATAATAGGGCACTCAAGAGACCACCTTGGCCTCTTCAGTAGGGCTACTTACTGCTTTAAGTCCCTGTGTTTCTTCTGTTGCCAATACGACCCGTGAAGATCCGGGGTAGAATAGGTCTTCAGCAACCCATGTGCTTGCCATAAAAGGCCACTATGCGTGTCGTAAGAGGCGACTAACGGGATCGGGTGGTCAGTTCCGCTGACTTGGTTGACACATGTCATCGGTTCCCAATTGCGCAGATCGATGCTCATGCTGTTGATCACTGGATTGTCTGGTCCAGATTCGATTATTTACAGACTGCCGCCATATAGCTGGGATATTGCTGAGTGCGGCATAAAACTAAACTCACTCACTCACTCACTGTTGCCAATACAGTGAGAAGTAGTACAGCCACGAAGCCACTGACAACTTCTCATCCCAGCATGGCTGACATACCAGTCTACAGGAAGAACTCAAGGCTGTTCTGAATATGTCATGACAATGTCTTGACACTTAAAGAATTGACAATCACAAAATATTATATCGAGTTTATTGATTCAAGTGTTTTGGACTTGACCCCAATATCACAGATGTCATCAACAATATCAGCAACATTAACAGCGTCCAGTACTTTCACGGGGCAGTCACAACATCACCATTCAAACACATTCTCACATCTTAAGTCTGTACTTACATATATTTTAAACCTATACAAACAAAATCAATAATCTGCTTGTCAAAATAGTGGCTCATTTGTTCAAAAATTCTTTAAGATTTCTGATGAGGCTCAATGTTTTGAACAATTTATGTAAAATGTTACATTATCATGGTTCTAAATAAGCACAAAGAAGCTCAACAAACTCTACTCAGAGATAGTTAATCTGCAACCAAGTTTATGACAAAGTCTGAACTGAATACATGAACCCCAAAATAATGGAACAAAATAATGGAACAATAATAATGGAACAATAAAATGAAATAAAAAGTATAAAAAACTGCATTTATTGTCATCTGTATTTCATTTTGGTCACTCCCTCACTCACAATAACCGCACTAGCCTCAGTTCGAGGGAGTCAATCTGAAACACAAACAGTTATCTACTGTGGCCTTTAGTATAATATGTTCCTCTACAGACAAAAGTTCTGCCTGAAATAAGGGGAGCAGACAGTACCTATGTGTGAATTACAAGTACCGGTATGTAGAAGTTACGCTCTACTACAGTTTCACAGAGCTGGCAGCTGGTACTCCTCATCATGACACAACTACCATTTCCAGGAACAAAACAAGGGATGGAATGTATATAAATATTGCTGCATGTAGACAACAGCTGCTGCTGTACACACTCCATGTACAGGCACTCCACGGACGGACATTGATACTTGGTGAGGTATTGTACATAACAATCGAAACAAATACGTTTACTCATAAAAACAACTAATGAAAGTTCACTTTGTCATCAAAGTGTGTGTACTTGTTGAATAATGACTTTATAATGATATACCATAAAGACATGTTGTGGGTATTGGGATTACGTTTGTAACATCCAGAGCTCCAGATAAGATTTAGGTCATGTGGGTACTGTACCCACTGTATTTTTTTGGAGTGGGTATTATGAATGTTGAGTGGGTATTTCATTTTCTGTTACCAACTGCTTTCAAGTATGTGCGTATTTCAGTCATTTCACTCACCTAAGTATTATGTCATTGAGTAAGTTTACTAAGCAGGTATGTTCTGAGTTATGTCATACCTAATCAAAACCAACTTAAATATAATGGAAATGATTTCATAAAAAATCCTATACTGACAGTACAACACTTGTCCTATACTAACAGTACAACTTGATAGCAATCGATGTCTTTTTCATTATGCAAGCGATTTTTATAAATATACTCCGTACGCATTTGTTTGAAACTTTTTGCGTATCTAACATTTTAAATGCGTAAATGGTACGCAACAATTATTTTTTCAATGCGTAATTGGAAATTTTCTATGCGTATTTTACCCGGATACGCAGCTTATCTGGGCCTCTGACATCTAAGATTCAGTGCTCCTTACGTGTAGTTCACATGTAGGTTGTGTATGGTGTCACAACCTCCTGAGAGATCTTAGTCACATAATGGCTGAAATATTGCCGATGTGACTCTAAATCCTAACTCACTCACTCACTCACTCACTCACTCCTGAGAGATCTATCATATTGTGTTGTAGCTCTAACAGAACTCAACACACACAAGAGCTACCTATCACATTATTCTGAAACAAATATTTCGTCATGACACAAGCATAGAATGCACATCTAACAACCCATCCAAATTCAGCTGCAGATAACAGTACAATACAAGAAATGAATGATACAAAGTGAGTGAAAATGGACATTGAGAATTCAGGCTGAGTGTTGAGAGGCACATGTTACTGAGATGTCAGATCTGTCTTGTCTCCTCCAGCACTTCTGGACCCTGGACGTTTGTCTTCAGTTGAAATGTCAATGATGTTTTCTTACAGGACCCGTTAGGAATCATGCAGAGTTTTCAAAAACTGCACGAGACCTTGAAGGTCGTATGTGTCAAGCACTTCCAGAAGGGCTGGGACCTTGCCCTTAACATTCTGACCTTTGAACTTGAACTTGTCGATGTACAAGTCTGTGATCATGCCTGGGAAATATACAAATGTATCATCAGATCAAACATGAACAGATTAATCCTCATATCAAACCTAAACAGATCAAACCTCATATCATACATATCAACAACAGATCAAACAACACAACAGATCAAACATCAACAGATCAAACAGAATAAACCTCATCAGATCAAACATGAACAGAATAAACCTCATCAGATCAAACATCAAACAGAATCAAATCCCTCATCAGATCAAACATGAACAGATAAAACCTCATCATAATAAACCTCATCAAACATCAAAAGATCACAGAATCAAACCTCAACAGATCAAACATGAACAGAATAAACCTCATCAGATCAAACCTCATCAGATCAAACATCAACAGATCAAACATCATATCAAACCTCAACAGATCAAACCTTAAACCTCTATCATCAAACATCAAACCTCATCAGATCAAACCTCAACAGATCAAACCTAAACAGATCAAACATTAACAGAATAAACCTCATCAGATCAAACATTAACAGAATAAACATCAGATCAAACATGAACAGAATAAACCTCATCAGATCAAACATGAACAGAATAAACCTCATCAGATCAAACATCAACAGATCAAACATGAACAGAATAAACCTCATCAGATCAAACATCAACAGATCAAACCTCAAACAGATCAAACCTCATCAGATCAAACATCAACTGATAAAAAATCATGAGATTTATCATCTTGAATACACATCATCACCCATCATGACATCAAATATTCCAAAATATCATCTCATTATGCACAGGGGACAGCAGGATGTTTCATCGCTGATCAATGTTCTGGATCTCAGATTTCAGACACACAGACACACAGACACTCACAGAGGTATGTCCTTATAGTCGCCACCACGTGAACCTACCATACAGCCTCTCCAGGTGACACGGCTGTTTCTTGTACTCTATCTGCAACTGGTCAGCCTCCTTCAGTATCTGCTGATACTCTGCCGACAGGAAACTTGTGTCGCTCTCGTGGACAGCCAGCTCCTACAATGGTGAACACTGGATAACTGTCACTGGATATATTTTACAAGACTGATTTGTCCTGCCATTGTTTTTGGGACTGGCAAGTTCAAATGGTATTAAACGTAAAAACATATTCATGCCATTATCCATTTGTTATTTAGTTTGCTTGTAGTCCAAACAATATGATTCTGGTGACAGATTATCTGGACATCAAAATAACAGGGTGATCTCCCTTTGTTTCATGAGTTACCTACCTTGAGTGCATCAACAAGTTGAACCTTCTTTGCAAGCAGGAGTTGATGTTCCAGCCTGGGGTGTATGAGGGACAGAGTGTGGGGAATCGACTCATCGTTCACATCTGCAACACCAGACACGCCATGTACGTCTTTACTAGCCTCACTGGCTCCTGATGCCAGGAGAACATGCCAGAAACACTGAGCCTGATTGACTATCTATGATGGGAGATACACACCGTATGTAATGTCTAGCCTGATTGACTACCTATGCTGGGAGATACACACCGTATGTAATGTCTAGCCTGATTGACTACCTATGCTGGGAGATACACACCATATGTAATGTCTAGCCTGATTGACTACCTATGCTGGGAGATACACACCATATGTAATGTCTAGCCTGATTGACTACCTATGCTGGGAGATACACACCATATGTAATGTCTAGCCTGATTGACTACCTATGCTGGGAGATACACACCATATGTAATGTCTAGCCTGATTGACTACCTATGCTGGGAGATACACACCATGTATGTAATGTCTAGCCTGATTGACTACCTATGCTGGGAGATACACACTAGCCTTATGTAATGTCTAGCCTGATTGACTACCTATGCTGGGAGATACACACTGTATGTAATGTCTAGCCTGATTGACTACCTATGCTGGGAGATACACACTGTATGTAATGTCTAGCCTGATTGACTACCTATGCTGGGAGATACACACCGTATGTAATGTCTAGCCTGATTGACTACCTATGCTGGGAGATACACACCATATGTAATGTAATGTCTAGTAATGTCTAGATTGACTACCTATGCTGGGAGATACACACACTGTACACCTGATATGTAATGTCTAGCCTGATTGACTACCTATGCTGGGAGATACACACTGTATGTAATGTCTAGCCTGATTGACTACCTATGCTGGGAGATACACACCATATGTAATGTCTAGCCTGATTGACTACCTATGCTGGGAGATACACACCATATGTAATGTCTAGCCTGATTGACTACCTATGCTGGGAGATACACACTGTATGTAATGTCTAGCCTGATTGACTACCTATACTGGGAGATACACACCATGTAATGTCTAGCCTGATTGTACCTATGCTGGGAGATACACAGATTGTAATGTCTAGCCTGATTGACTACCTATGCTGGGAGATACACACCGTATGTAATGTCTAGTCTGATCTTCTTCTTGGTAGCTTCTTTAGACAGCACATCCTTCAGGATGGAGATGGTGGAGATGTTGTCAGATCTGAACACAGCCTCTCCCTTCCTGCAGGCAATAAGATATTTATCTCCCACCTTCATATCACACACACACATATGCTCCATATCCCTGTTAGTACCCAAACTTGCTCACCATGGCAACATTAATTCACCACTATAAACAGGAGCATTTCTACTTCAGGTTCTATTTCCACAGGTACTTTTTGTAGATAATCATATAAACATATATCTTGTAGCTTTATTGGTTTGTATCACATCAAAAATATTCAAGATTCTTTTTCAGTTGTCAAACCACAAGTGAAAAGTGACTACTCCTGAACACAAGTCTGCCATGCTGTGGAGTGAACCTCTGTGATGTCTGTATCATCATGGCAGTGTCCTTACCGTGGACTGGACGTCATGTTTATCATGCACTGTGGGAACTGGTGCAATACTGATGTGAATGAATGCCATTTTATGACACAGCTGGCAAGATTCTAGCTGTATCCCACAGCCTCTTTAATAACCAGGCCAGGCTGACACTGGCTGACATAAAGTGCAAAAACTCACGCTGCATGACACAACCAGGTAATGCACTGACCACCTGAACATCCTTTTTGGCAGCTCTTTGGACAGTTGTAGGACACAAGTCACCTACTGTGAGCAAGACAGGGCTTCATAACTCTCCCCTTTGTAGCTGTATGGTACAGTGTATAGTGCAGCACACCTACCTGTATGAACACTCCAGCTGTGTGCTGAGGAAGGTAGAGATGAAGTGGAAGGTTACGTTGTCGCCGGCAGGTGTACGATCAGGCAGTTCAGGCAGACAGAAGCACACCCAAGAGTGTATCTCTGCTAGACTGAACTGGCCTGTCAATGTCAGACTGTTGTGTGGCCTAAAACAATAATGTAATTTTCTGAATAAAATTGATATTTTATACTTATCCTGACTCATGCTTTATGCTTGTCTCCTTCCTCTTGCGAACTTAGTGGAACACTTGTATCTCCTATTGAAGCTCCCTTCAATAAAGAACAGACGTAAAATCACTCCTAAGAGTTATCTCCCCAGCCGTTTAGGCGGGAAACTGTGGCGCCACCGTCCCCACATGCCTCACTCTCTCCTGATTATGAGCCCGACACTTGAATTTGCAGGGAAATCCAAAGTGTCTAGAGCGGAGGATGGGTGGGTTTACCTCATGAGTCAGGATAAGTATAAAATATCAATTTTATTCAGAAAATTACATATTTTTCTGTATCCTGACTCATGCTTAATGCTTGTAGAATCCGACGGAGAAGGCGGCGGGCAAGTTACTTTGGATTTCATAAAGTGATTTACTTCTCTATACCCCCCTATGGGAACTTCGTGTTGGCACTGTTATTTAACTGCTAATCTCTGCTGCTGCTGCGACCCTGTCCTTCCAACTGCCTTTAGATGGGGGGACCACAATAGTTAACTTTTGGTCCTTTCTTCTGTTAACATTTTATGTGGATTTTGCGACTCCATCTCTTGATGCAAGCACCAAGTGGAGAAGCGACCCATTCCTGTACAAGTATCCTTACAAGTACTGGGTCATATTACTTATGCTAGTCTGTCCTAGACGTGCATATAGACTTAAAGCAAAACTCTCCAGAGTGTAGGCTTTGTAAGTCATTGGGCGGTGGGGTAGCCTAGTGGTTAAAGCGTTGGCTCGTCACGCTGAAGACCCGGGTTCGAATCCCCACATGGGTACAATGTGTGAAGCCCATTTCTGGTGTCCCCCGCCGTGATGTTGCTGGAATATTGCTAAAAGCGGCGTAAAACCAAACTCAGTCAGTCAGGCAGTCAGTTGTAAGTCATGTGATAAAAGGGTGAGACACCGTCTCAGCGCCTTTGTGGGACTGTCAATTGTTGTGCTACAACAAGTGGGCCGAAATGGTGAATGCCAGAGCCGTCCTCAGTGGCGACGTCCTTCAGGTAGTGGTTGGCAAACATCCTGTCCCATTTCCAGAAGCAGCCCTCCATTATCGTCCTGATAGAGCGATTCCCAAGTAGAGTGAGCGTTGACGCCAGAGCTCTAATTTCATGTGGGTTGGTGACTCTTGGAGGATCAAGTCCTGCTGCTTTGTAGGCCCGTAGTATGACAGTTCTGATCCAGCTTGATATCGTAGTGCGGCAGACCTCCGTCTGTGTCTCTGTCGATATCGCGACGAAAAGACACTTGAAGTTCCGTCGCCTGGACCTGGATCTTTGTAGGAAGACTTTCAATGCTCTCACTGGGTACAAGGATATGATCTGCGTATCCTGTGGTCCAAGGACTGATGATGGTGTTGGGACGTGGAACTGTCTGTCAGGAAGACCTGGCAGTTGATTCTTTGCTATGAAGTCCCATCTCAGTCCCATATGCACGATGTTATGAATATCATCAAATCGTGTTCTCTCGAAGTTCAGAGCATGTATTTCCGACATCCTTGCTGCTGTTACTAAGGTTATCAGGAACAGCGTCTTCTGCGTCAAGAACTCGAATGATGTTCTCTGTAATGGTTCGTAGATCTCACTAGTGAGATGTCGTAGAACTACGTTGAGGTCCCACCCCGGAGCTTTAAATCTCTGATGTTGGTCCTCCAATTAAAAGGGCGTAGTAAGGCCAGTAACTCTGGTACTTTTGTCAGTTGCACTCGTCCTCATGGCGATAACTGAGCTCGATGCCGGTAGGTATGTTGAGGGTGTTGACCCTTTTAACCACTTCCTTTGTCTAGGTGACAAAGGCAGTCCGCCACTTGAGGATGTGTCACTATCATGGCTGTGAAGTCAATCCTCGAAACATATCATTTGTCTCAAAGCGTCACCACTTGTTATCAGACAAGTTGCGTGAAGACTTGCGTAAAACTAGTGTGACTGCTTTCGCTGCCCTGGCGAAATACCCTCTCTTGTTCAAGCATGCCTTGATACAGTCCACACGTGTAGCCGGAACACCTCTGGGTTGCCGTGCGCCTGCTTTGTGTGAGGATGTATTAGTAAATTCGTCCACTCTGGTAGTTGCAGTTGAGGCAGTCCTAGGTCTTGTATGAGAATGGGGAACCATATTCTCGCTGGCCAAAAAGGCGTGCCCCAAGTAGTTGTGGGTCTCTCGCCTGACTGATTTCTGCAATACCCTTGGTATTAGAGCTGGTGGAGCAAAAGCGTAAGCGTTTAGTCCTAGCCAGGAGATGCTTAGCGTGTCCGTTGCCCAGGCCCCTGGATCTGGTATTGGTGAGACGAATGTTATCAGTTGACCCTTGAGGCAAAGAGGTCTATTAATGGTGCTACCATCTCTTGTATGATCTGCTTGAAGATCTCTGAATGTAGCATCCAGTCTGTTGAGAATGGCTGCGTAGGACAGGATAGTGCATCTGCTATCACATTCTTGGTTCTTGGAATGTGGCATACTCTGCTGTGGACAGTCAGGTTGACTGTTATGCTGACCAACTGAAAGCAGAGGTCCAGAAGGTTCGCCAACTTTGTTGATCCTTCTGTGGATGTAGACCGTCACTGTGGAGGTGACTGTGTGTACCGTCAGATGAGCATTCTTCAAAATGCTGATCCGGTGGAGTATGGCGTTTATCACTGCTTTCATTTCCAGCATATGGAAGTGCAGATCGTCTCTGCTATGGTCCATATCCCAGCTGACACATCGTTGTCGAGGTGTGCTCCCCAATCTTGGAGAGATGCGTCCACATAGAGATGCTTCTTGTACTGCGACCCTCCTATCACGGAGTTCACCATATTAGATATGGATTTTAACCTGTGCGGGAGTCCGAAGGGGTCCGGATCATCCAGTTGTACATTCACGAAGACCAGTAGTGGGCGTAGTTGTAGACTCTCTCTGCGTATCATGTCTTGTGCTGACGTGTGAAGAACCAACAGATTCCGCCACTTCTTAGTAATAACGGAGAGAGTAGTGCTTGAGATACAAGGACTTGTATCTATATCCTACGATCTTGAAACCCTTACCGTGTCTGTAAGGGAAATGAAGTGATGGCCGACTCTGTGACTGCCATCGTTGGGAAGTCTATGTAAAAGTCGTCTGGCTGCCGCCCCCTATCTTCAATGATGACAGGGGAGGTCTCTAACCCCATGAGGGCAGCCAAATCACGTAGGTCCCGTCTAACTGGACTGTAATGGAGGCGTTGCTTGCTCGCTCGCTGACATGTTGTTGTGACTTGTAACCCATTTCTTGACCTGTGAACTACGTCCGACCTCTGCGCAGGGCGTTGTCTCTCGTGGTCCAATCAAAATAAAGCATTTTGATTCCTTAGGCTAGCCGCGCTCTGACGTCACCGGTGTAGCAGGAAAAAGGTCCTTGTAGAATCTAGTGCCGCCGTTGATATCTGATCAATTGTCGGTCTTGTCCGTAGCCTTCCGAAGTTACACGAAAGTGACCACGTGTATCGAGGATGAATGGTAAACGCGCGAAATATTTCGCCGCGTAATACCGATGTGGGTAGGCTGTTTTCCTGGCTGCTGTGACTTTTACTTCAGTCTTGAAGATAATGCCGTCGCCCTTTATACAGAGGATCAACTGAAATCTTCACGTTGTCAGCTTTTAGACTGCATACATCAATGAAGCGTCGTAATTGTAGAATTAATGCTGAACTTGTTGTAAATTCTGCTCAGGGAATCGTTGACGAGTATGTATTTTCCTAGCCGTAGCAAGGCTGCTGTTGAACCCCGCCAGTGAGAATATCTGCAGATCTGTATGAAAGTGAAGATCTCTATATGGCCATACGTCTTCTCATGTAGATATATCAATCTATGTGAATCTTGGATTCAGTCTGAAGATCCGTGCCGGTGATGAATTCGGACAAGAGTACCCCTCTTGAACTGTATTACATGTTCTTCAGTCTGTGTACCGACGACGATCTTTCCCTTCTACGATGACGCTACCTCATGTCCTGGTTGAATAACCTTGAAGATCTGCGTAGCGATCTGCGTTGTGGTCGGCGTGGTGTGACTGTATGGCGCCTTGCGTGTAGGTAATCATCTCGTAGTCCGGGATTGCCTTACTGGCAATACATTCCGAAATGGTGATTCCCGTGATGATCTGCTAGGCGTCGTTGATGCCCTTGATGTAGGTAGTCGGCCTGAAGATCCTTTATTAGGTTCATCATCTGTTGACAGTCTCTGAAGTTGTAGATGACATGTAGCGTTCTGTTAAGAAGCTAAATACTGCGACGTCTCTGTCTTGTATATGGCCTGGGCTAATGCCTTCGCGCAGGCTTGTTGACAGCATGTAGCGTTCAGTTGAGAGACTAAGTACTGCGATGTCTCTGCTTCGCTGGGGATCTTCGTGGAGACCTGCGTGATGACCTGTGTGGAGACCTGCATAAAGACCTTCGTGGAGACCTGCGTGGAGATCTGCGTGGCGATCGGCGTGGAGATCGACGTGGGGAGTGGCCCGGTGAACTGCGTCTGTAGGGTGACCTGCGCGGAGATGAGCGACTGTGAGTTCGCGGATGTCTCGGCGAATCCCTCGACGACTGCATGATGCGGAAGCTGTCTTGGATACTGTATCTGAAGTCCTTAGTGAATGCCTTCGCGAACGCTGATCAGTTGATTCCGTATCTGGGGGAATGGCGACTAGTCCTTCGCGAATGCCTTCGCGAACGCTGGTTGTTCAATTCCGCTAAATATCTGATTCCGCATCTGGGGAATGACGACTGGTCCTTCGCAAACGCCTTCGCGAATGCTGGACGTCCGATCCGGGGATGGGTGATTCCTCCTTCGCGAATGCCTTCGCGAATGCTGATCGTCCGATGAACGTCCGAGTCCGCCGCAGGGGATGGTTGAGTCGACCTTCGCACAGGCTGGTCCCGGGAGTGTAGTTCTGCTGGCAGAAGTCACGTTGATGGAGGGTCCCTCAGAGCTGACGTCTGCGTTGGAGCCTTCGCGAAGGCTCGGGACCTGAGCTGGCTGTGAATTCTTTTCCAGGCAGTAACACTGCTCCATCATCTCCATGACTGCATGAAATCGCCCGGGTTGAAGGTCTGCGGTGGTACTGGCGCTGCCCTTTCTGCGGTGATAGCGACTGGGCCCACTGGATGGTCATCTGTTGTCAACGTTGATACCTCGGGTTGAGGAGAGATCTGCGCTGACATCACCGTAGCTGCGACCGGTCGTTGCTTGGGATGAACCTCTGGGATGATAATCGGTTGATCATCGTAGAGTCCCTGTTCCGTCATCGGGACAATCTCGTTAGAGAAAGTCCTTGTAGTCTGTGCAGACGTCCCCGTAGAGTTGGTCGTCATCTGAAGGGTGTGTAGCCTTCTCTGGGTAGAGGATGGCTTCTATTCAACGTCTGCGATGATTGTAGAGCTGCCCTCTCTGCGTTGATAGCGATATGGTCCAGGGATCGCTCATCTGTCGCCCTCGGACTGCGTGCTGTATGTCTGGGATGATCAGCAGCGGCTCATCATGAAGTCATCTCACTGTCATCGGGACAATGTCTGTGAGGCCTCATTCTGCGTAGAGGATGGCTTCTTCTTCTACGTCTGCGTTGAGGGGTTGTCCGATGTAGAAGCCAACGTCTTCGAAGTAATGGCGGACAACATCCCACGCCCATCCTCCGATGACACCTCCGGCAGGTCACTTGATGGTAGTAAGTCGTCTAACAGCAGTAGACAGCTCGTGAGGGACTCAGCCAGTTATCCATGACTTGGACAGTCACCTGGATTTGTCGGTAGTACATCTAAGTACAGAGAAAAATTATTTATTAATTTGAATTTCTATTAAATGCTGATAAACATTACAGCTATAGCTGGAAGTATCATGTTGTTGTGCATCTAGGGCACAGTCAATGCAGGTTTTGCAGCAGCGAACCTAAACCTTCAACGAAAATAGGTTTCCATGAAATGTAAACAACTGAACAAACACGGACAATTCCGAGAATAAACAGTGCTAAATACGATTAAATATCAAACGATATTGTTGAAGAATACTAACTAAACCTCTATAAAGTAGAATAGAGGAGAGTAATTAAGTAATTAAAGGATATAGTGCCGAATAGAAGATACAGGCGCTCTCACAACCTGCCCACAGGGCGAAGAAGGAGAGAGTGAGGCATGTGGGGACGGTGGCGCCACAGTTTCCCGCCTAAACGGCTGGGGAGATAACTCTTTGGAGGAGTGATTTTACGTCTGTTCTTTATTGAAGGGAGCTTCAATAGGAGATACAAGTGTTCCACTAACATTCGCAAGAGGAAGGAGACAAGCATTAAGCATGAGTCAGGATAAGGAAAAATAAACTGGCAATGACGACTCTCATCTTGATACCCACATGATATTTTCAAAATATGACAGAGCGGATGACTACCAGTGTACAAGCAAAAATTATCCTCTCCTAAAGTATGAGATATATCATGTGATCCTCCCCAAAAGTATGAGATTCAGTCCGGATACAAACTTGCCTGTCCGGTTTTCAACAATAAAAAAACTGTGACTGCCATTTCCACGTCGTAAAGCTCCACTCACTGTTTGTAGGCATTGCAATGAACTACATAGCACTAACAGGCAATGCACTGAGATTAGGTAAACTGAAAGTACATGTGTTGTGATTGGTTATCATAACATGAACTGCCCAATCGTGTGTAGTTTAACCTAATTTTCATAATTCCTTAAACACGTCAAAGTGACGACACGAGAACCTGTCTGATATTATGAAATATTTTACTCTTAGGGGTAAAAATATCTACCAGACCACTGGACAGGCTACTTTTGAAATTTGACCGTCCGAGATGAAAATAGACCGTTCCAGATGATCGGGCAGGCAGGAAATTTAAACGCTGATATCTTGTGATTTCCTCCTAAAGTATCTTGTGATCCCCCCTTGTAGTATGAGCTACTAGTATATGTTGTGTTCCCCTTGTACAGTATGAGCTATATGTTGTGTTCCCCTTGTACAGTATGAGCTATATGTTGTGTTCCCCTTGTACAGTATGAGCTATATGTTGTGTTCCCCTTGTACAGTATGAGCTATATGTTGTGTTCCCCTTGTACAGTATGAGCTATATGTTGTGTTCCCCTTGTACAGTATGAGCTATATGTTGTGTTCCCCTGTACAGTATGAGCTATATGTTGTGTTCCCCTCGTGACAGTATGAGCTATATGTTGTGTTCCCCTCGTACAGTATGAGCTATATGTTGTGTTCCCCTCGTACAGTATGAGCTATATGTTGTGTTCCCCTTGTACAGTATGAGCTATATGTTGTGTTCCCCTCGTACAGTATGAGCTATATGTTGTGTTCCCCTTGTACAGTATGAGCTATATGTTGTGTTCCCCTTGTACAGTATGAGCTATATGTTGTGTTCCCCTTGTACAGTATGAGCTATATGTTGTGTTCCCTTGTACAGTATGAGCTATATGTTGTGTTCCCCTTGTACAGTATGAGCTATATGTTGTGTTCCCCTTGTACAGTATGAGCTATATGTTGTGTTCCCCTTGTACAGTATGAGCTATATGTTGTGTTCCCCTTGTACAGTATGAGCTATATGTTGTGTTCCCCTCGTACAGTATGAGCTATATGTTGTGTTCCCCTCATACAGTATGAGCTATATGTTGTGTTCCCTCGTACAGTATGAGCTATATGTTGTGTTCCCTGGCTGCAGTATGAGCTATATGTTGTGTTCCCCTTGTACAGTATGAGCTATATGTTGTGTTCCCTTGTACAGTATGAGCTATATGTTGTGTTCCCCTCGTGCAAGTATGAGCTATATGTTGTGTTCCCCTTGTACAGTATGAACTATATGTTGTGTTCCCCTTGTACAGTATGAACTATATGTTGTGTTCCCCTTGTACAGTATGAACTATATGTTGTGTTCCCCTTGTACAGTATGAGCTATATGTTGTGTTCCCCTCGTACAGTATGAGCTATATGTTGTGTTCCCCTTGTACAGTATGAGCTATATGTTGTGTTCCCCTCGTACAGTATGAGCTATATGTTGTGTTCCCCTCGTACAGTATGAGCTATATGTTGTGTTCCCCTCGTACAGTACGCCATATATGTTGCTGACCATTCCTTAAAGCATGTAATACAGCGACCCTGAGCACACTTACCGACTACTGTCAAACACGTGTGTCCGCTGATGTAGGGAGAGGGGTTTGATGGGATACTGCTTCACCTGACATGTCTTGGGTTGGATGCGAGGTGTGATGTACGCCTGCAGGGTTCCATGCTGACCCTCGATTGACCTGACCTTCAACTCCAGACGGGTCGTGTTGGCCTGACATCTGTATGTTGCCAACAGAAAGTTACCTTCCTGGAAGAAAAATTAACTAAAAACAGTGAGGGTCAAATTTCATTTGTTTCATGGTGTAAATGATATTTTTCATACTTTCAAACAGAACACTTTATTTGTATTGAACATTAACAGTGGTGGTAACATGGCCAGGTACAGATTGCAGGAAACTATGCCTGTAAAATGTAACACATGGTAACATTAAGGAAACAATCATGCTGAAACAATGGTGAACCGAGGAGGAAGTTACAGCCGTGAGTCATCTGATTATTGACTCAGAAGAAACTTCCTTCTAAAATAGCTTCTGGGAGTGAGTGAGTGAGTGAGGTAGTGAGTGAGTGAGTGAGTGAGTTTGATGTGGGAAGCATATGTTTGAGCGTCCATGATTACCGGATCTTCGTACACCTAAGGGAAGCAACTCTGCTTAGCAAACTGCAGTTCCTCAGACACCTGTTATCAAAGAAAGGAGCAGGTGAATGCAGGTGAGTGAATGGACACTGACCTCTGGGTTACAGGCACTGTAGCTGACCACTGCAGAGTTCTTCTCAACGTCCAAGAGGTCAATCGGTACATCACTCTGTCAACATCAGGCCAGGACAGTGAGTTTTCTTATTTCACTGATATGAGTGAACAAATTACACAAGAGTAAAAGGACATTGATGAGTTTTCCTTTAATCACTGTGTTTATTATACTGTTGTTCCAGCAACTGGCAATTTTTTCCCTTTTCTATTCTTTTCTATACTTCATCTATATCTGATGGTAACTTGGTTATATAATCATAAATGTACAAATATTCAAGTAACAGTTACATTTATATTTATAAATGATAAACTCTTTCGAGAATTGAAATTTAAACCAGTTTGGTGTGTGAAAACAACACTGATATCAGCATGATGAGACACCCTACAATGATGCGGGAGCTCCTACCTGCAGCAGCACATTGTCTATGGGCATCTGTAGCTCTAGGCTGAGGGAGTAGCTGGCATCCTCGCAGTTGAGGACAAACTTGTCATTGATGCTGAAGATGGGTACAGCAGACACAGCATCCTTGGAGAAGGCCGTCTGCTGGTACTTCTCTCTCTCATCCAGAACCTTCTGCTGCAGGTTGTCTACCTCATTCCTGGAGAACAGACATCCAGCAGTGCAGGTGTGCGATACAGAGACATCCAGCAGTGCAGGTGTGTGATACAGAGACATCCAGCAGTGCAGATGTGTGATACACAACAGTGCATGTGTGTGATACAGAGACATCCAACGGTGCAGGTGTGTGATACAGAGACATCCAACAGTGCAGGTGCGTGATACACAGACATCCAACAGTGCAGGTGTGTGATACAGAGACATCCAGCAGTGCAGGTGTGTGATACAGAGACATCCAGCAGTGCAGGTGTGTGATACACAGACATCCAACAGTGCATGTGTGTGATACAGAGATACACAACAGTGCAGGTTTGTGATACAGAGACATCCAGCAGTGCAGGTGATACAGAGACATCTAACAGTGCAGGTGTGTGACACAGAGATACACAACAGTGCAGGTTTGTGATACAGAGACATCCAACAGTGCAGGTGTGTGATACACAGACATCCAGCAGTGCAGGTGTGTGATACAGAGACATCCAACAGTGCAAGTGTGTGATACAGAGATACACAACAGTGCAGGTGTGTGATACACAGACATCCAACAGTGCAGGTGTGTGATACAGAGATACACAACAGTGCAGGTTTGTGATACAGAGACATCCAACAGTGCAGGTGTGTGATACACAGACATCCAGCAGTGCATGTGTGTGATACACAGACATCCAACAGTGCAGGTGTGTGATACAGAGATACACAACAGTGCAGGTGTGTGATACACAGACATCCAACAGTGCAGGTGTGTGATACAGAGATACACAACAGTGCAGGTTTGTGATACAGAGACATCCAACAGTGCAGGTTTGTGATACAGAGATACACAACAGTGCAGGTTTGTGATACAGAGACATCCAACAGTGCAGGTGTGTGATACACAGACATCCAGCAGTGCATGTGTGTGATACACAGACATCCAACAGTGCAGGTGTGTGATACAGAGATACACAACAGTGCAGGTGCGTGATACACAGACATCCAACAGTGCATGTGTGTGATACAGAGACATCCAACAGTGCAGGTGTGTGATACAGAGACATCCAACAGTGCAGGTTTGTGATACACAGACATCCAACAGTGCAAGTGTGTGATACAGAGACACACAACAGTGCATGTGTGTGATACAGAGACATCCAACAGTGCAGGTGTGTGATACACAGACATGCAACAGTGCATGTGTGTGATACACAGACATCCAGCAGTGCAGGTGTGTGATACACAGACATCCAACAGTGCAGGTGTGTGATACAGAGACATCCAGCAGTGCAGGTGTGTGATACAGAGATACACAACAGTGCAGGTTTGTGATACAGAGACATCCAGCAGTGCAGGTGTGTGATACAGAGATACACAACAGTGCAGGTGTGTGATACAGAGACATCCAGCAGTGCAGATGTGTGATACAGAGACATCCAACAGTGCAGGTGTGTGAGACAGAGATACACAACAGTGCAGGTGTGTGATACAGAGACATCCAACAGTGCAGGTGTGTGATACAGAGACATCCAACAGTGCATGTGTGTGATACACAGACATCCAACAGTGCATGTGTGTGATACACAGACATCCAACAGTGCAGGTGTGTGATACAGAGACATCCAACAGTGCAGGTGTGTGTTACAGAGATACACAACAATGCAGGTGTGTGATACAGAGACATCCAGCAGTGCAGGTGTGTGATACAGAGACATCCAGCAGTGCAGGTGTGTGATACACAACAGTGCATGTGTGTGATACACAGACATCCAACAGTGCAGGTGTGTGATACAGAGACATCCAACAGTGCAGGTGTGTGATACAGAGACATCCAACAGTGCAGGTGTGTGATACAGAGACATCCAGCAGTGCAGGTGTGTGATACAGAGACATCCAGCAGTGCAGGTGTGTGATACAGAGACATCCAACAGTGCATGTGTGTGATACAGAGATAAACAACAGTGCAGGTTTGTGATACAGAGACATCCAAGAGTGCAGGTGATACAGAGACATCTAACAGTGCAGGTGTGTGACACAGAGATACACAACAGTGCAGGTTTGTGATACAGAGACATCCAACAGTGCAGGTGTGTGATACACAGACATCCAGCAGTGCAGGTGTGTGATACAGAGACATCCAACAGTGCAAGTGTGTGATACAGAGATACACAACAGTGCAGGTGTGTGATACACATACATCCAACAGTGCAGGTGTGTGATACAGGGATACACAACAGTGCAGGTTTGTGATACAGAGACATCCAACAGTGCAGGTGTGGCGATACACAGACATCCAGCAGTGCAGGTGTGTGATACAGAGACATCCAGCAGTGCAGGTGTGTGATACAGAGATACACAACAGTGCAGGTGTGTGATACAGAGACATCCAGCAGTGCAGATGTGTGATACAGAGACATCCAACAGTGCAGGTGTGTGATACAGAGATACACAACAGTGCAGGTGTGTGATACAGAGACATCCAACAGTGCAGGTGTGTGATACACAGACATCCAACAGTGCATGTGTGTGATACACAGACATCCAACAGTGCATGTGTGTGATACACAGACATCCAACAGTGCAGGTGTGTGATACAGAGACATCCAACAGTGCATGTGTGTGATACACAGACATCCAACAGTGCATGTGTGTGATACAGAGACATCCAGCAGTGCAGGTGTGTGATACACAGACATCCAGCAGTGCATGTGTGTGATACACAGACATCCAACAGTGCAGGTGTGTGATACAGAGATACACAACAGTGCAGGTGTGTGATACACAGACATCCAACAGTGCAGGTGTGTGATACAGAGATACACAACAGTGCAGGTTTGTGATACAGAGACATCCAACAGTGCAGGTTTGTGATACAGAGATACACAACAGTGCAGGTTTGTGATACAGAGACATCCAACAGTGCAGGTGTGTGATACACAGACATCCAGCAGTGCATGTGTGTGATACACAGACATCCAACAGTGCAGGTGTGTGATACAGAGATACACAACAGTGCAGGTGCGTGATACACAGACATCCAACAGTGCATGTGTGTGATACAGAGACATCCAACAGTGCAGGTGTGTGATACAGAGACATCCAACAGTGCAGGTTTGTGATACAGAGACATCCAACAGTGCAAGTGTGTGATACAGAGATACACAACAGTGCATGTGTGTGATACAGAGACATCCAACAGTGCAGGTGTGTGATACACAGACATGCAACAGTGCATGTGTGTGATACACAGACATCCAGCAGTGCAGGTGTGTGATACACAGACATCCAACAGTGCAGGTGTGTGATACAGAGACATCCAGCAGTGCAGGTGTGTGATACAGAGATACACAACAGTGCAGGTTTGTGATACAGAGACATCCAGCAGTGCAGGTGTGTGATACAGAGATACACAACAGTGCAGGTGTGTGATACAGAGACATCCAGCAGTGCAGATGTGTGATACAGAGACATCCAACAGTGCAGGTGTGTGAGACAGAGATACACAACAGTGCAGGTGTGTGATACAGAGACATCCAACAGTGCAGGTGTGTGATACAGAGACATCCAACAGTGCATGTGTGTGATACACAGACATCCAACAGTGCATGTGTGTGATACACAGACATCCAACAGTGCAGGTGTGTGATACAGAGACATCCAACAGTGCAGGTGTGTGTTACAGAGATACACAACAGTGCAGGTGTGTGATACAGAGACATCCAGCAGTGCAGGTGTGTGATACAGAGACATCCAGCAGTGCAGGTGTGTGATACACAACAGTGCATGTGTGTGATACACAGACATCCAACAGTGCAGGTGTGTGATACAGAGACATCCAACAGTGCAGGGTGCTGTGATACACAGACATCCAACAGTGCAGGTGTGTGATACAGAGACATCCAGCAGTGCAGGTGTGTGATACAGAGACATCCAGCAGTGCAGGTGTGTGGCTCTGAGAGACATCCAGCAGTGCATGTGTGTGATACAGAGATACACAACAGTGCAGGTTTGTGATACAGAGACATCCAAGAGTGCAGGTGATACAGAGACATCTAACAGTGCAGGTGTGTGACACAGAGATACACAACAGTGCAGGTTTGTGATACAGAGACATCCAACAGTGCAGGTGTGTGATACACAGACATCCAGCAGTGCAGGTGTGTGATACAGAGACATCCAACAGTGCAAGTGTGTGATACAGAGATACACAACAGTGCAGGTGTGTGATACACATACATCCAACAGTGCAGGTGTGTGATACAGAGATACACAACAGTGCAGGTTTGTGATACAGAGACATCCAACAGTGCAGGTGTGTGATACACAGACATCCAGCAGTGCAGGTGTGTGATACAGAGACATCCAACAGTGCAGGTGTGTGATACAGAGATACACAACAGTGCAGGTGTGTGATACAGAGACATCCAGCAGTGCAGATGTGTGATACAGAGACATCCAACAGTGCAGGTGTGTGATACAGAGATACACAACAGTGCAGGTGTGTGATACAGAGACATCCAACAGTGCAGGTGTGTGATACACAGACATCCAACAGTGCATGTGTGTGATACACAGACATCCAACAGTGCATGTGTGTGATACACAGACATCCAACAGTGCAGGTGTGTGATACAGAGACATCCAACAGTGCATGTGTGTGATACACAGACATCCAACAGTGCATGTGTGTGATACAGAGACATCCAGCAGTGCAGGTGTGTGATACAGAGACATCCAGCAGTGCAGGTGTGTGATACAGAGATACACAACAGTGCAGGTTTGTGATACAGAGACATCCAGCAGTGCATGTGTGTGATACAGAGACATCCAGCAGTGCATGTGTGTGATACACAGACATCCAGCAGTGCAGGTGTGTGATACAGAGAAATCCAACAGTGCAGGTGTGTGATACAGAGATACACAACAGTGCAGGTGCGTGATACACAGACATCCAACAGTGCAGGTGTGTGATACAGAGACATCCAACAGGGCAAGTGTGTGATACAG